CACGCCAAGGCCGCCTCTCGTGCTGCTGCGAGGCTCTCTCCCTGCCCCACAGGAAAGCATGCGAAGAGCCGCATGCATCTGCTGCTGCTGCTGCTGCTGCTGCTGCTGCTGTTGTTGCTGCTGCTTTTTGATTCGTCTTTTGCTGCTAGCTTAGGCACAGCCACCCAGCCCCCCAGCTGCTCGGAAAACACCAACGAATCTGCTGCTGCTGCTGCTGCTGCTGCAGCTGCTGCTGCTGCTGCAGCGTCGCCAGTCTCTGTCTTCACCGGCTTAAGTGGCAGCAACAGCTCCTGCTGCTGCTGCTGCTGCTGCTGCTGCTGCTGATAGTCTTTGCTGCTGGCTTTTGCTGCGGGTCCTTGGGGGGCGCCGCAGTGGTAGCAGCGGCAGCATCCCCAATCGAGTCCTGCTGCTGCTGCTGTTGCAGTTGCTGCTGCTGCTGCTGCTGCTGCATCTTTTATTTGCCTCTGATGGCCGCCTGCTGTTTGTGCTGCAGCAGAAGCAGCAGCAGAAGCAGCAGCAGAAGCAGCAGCAAAAGAAACGTCGTGGTTTGGGTGTTCCTCTACAGTATGTTGGCCTGCTAGACTAGGAGCAGCAGCAGCAGCAGCTGCTGCTGCTGCTGCTGCACCTGCTGCTGCTGCTGCTGCTCCTGCTGCTGCTGCTGCTGCTGCTGCTCCTGCTGCTGCTGGCGTCTCTGAACCATTTGCAACATCTGAGTCGGAGTCTGCTTCCTCGGTGAGCATCGATACAGCAGNCAGCAGCAGCAGACCACGGAGACTGAGGCTCTGCTGAGCATGCAGCAGCTCCTTCTGCTGCTATGCTGTAGGCATGTGGAGACACCCCATACATCTGACCGAGCTGCTGCTGCTGCTGCTGCTGCTGCTGCTGCTGCTGCTGCTGCAACCGGGGGAGTCTTTGGGGGTGACGCAGCAGCGGTAGCAGCTGCTGCTGTTGCTGTTGCTGCTGCTGCTGCTGCGGGCTCCCATCCGTTAGATAGGGCTGCTGCAGCTGCTGCAGCTGCTGCAGTTGCTGCAGTTGCTGCGGTGTATAAGACAGGGGCAGAGCAGCACCAGCTAGGTGCTGCTGCTGCTGCTGCTGCTGCTGCAGCAGGAGCTGCTGCTGCTGCTGCTGCTGCTGGTCGTGAGCTAGCAGCAAGGGCTGATGCATCTGCGAACCGATGTCATGCTGCAGCAGAGCCCCATGCTGCTGCTGCTGCTGCTGCTGCTGCAGCAGGAGATGCTGCTGCTGCTGTTGCTGCTGCGGTGTATGCGGGAACATCTGCTGCTCCTGCAGCAGCAGTTGCTGCTGCTTCTGCTGCTGCTGCTGCTGCTGCTGTTCTATGGATCCGAGCATATCGACAGTTGGCGGAGTTGCTGCTGCAGTTTGTGCAGCAGCAGCAGCAGCAGCGGCTGCTGCTGCTGCTGCTGCTGTTGCTTGATGCGGCGGTGTTGCTGCTGCTGCTGCTGCTGCTGCTGCTGCCATCATATCCTGGTGAGCATAGGGGGAGAGCCCCACTGCAGCAGCAGCAGCAGCACAGCATCCACTGTTGTTTCTGTGTATATTAAAAGGCAGCTCATGCTGCTGCTGCTGCTGCTGCTGCTGCTGCTGTTGCTGCTGCTGCTGTTGCTGCTGCTGCTGCTGCTGCA